ACCATGAAGAACTTGATTATTCAGTGAATCAAGAACGTGCCATTGTAAGAACCGGAAGCCAGAGAAAACCAATGAGTAAAGGAAATAAAGAAGACTATTATTAGTTGTCCTTGAAAGGTAAGTACAGACATCTATTTATAGCCAGACTATGCTAGCTTGTAAATAAAGGCTACATAAGAGGAAATACAGGTACAAAGAAATAAGACCCTATTTAGTGCTCTAATAGCATTGACGTGCATAAACATCATCGTATTAAAACCTCTACCAATTAACAATTAACTATCAAACTGTACAAATTATATGAATAATTTTGGCCGATTTCTAGGACACTCATGCTTTTGAGGACTTGGAATTTTACATCATGTTGTACTGCAACCCATATGATCAGAGCAAATAAATAATATAAAAAAAAAAAATAGCTGTGCAATAGACCCCTCCAAAGGTAATCAAAATTGGACCATTTCAGCTATAATACCCAAAGTTTGTTAAAAGTAAGTAAGAATATTTCTCAATAAAATCATTCATTATTTTTTTTCATATATGGAAAATGTCAAATTATTTTATTAACTTTTAATTTTAATTTTGATCCTTATAGTATAATTATCTTTATTCATGTAACAGGCATGTTATCATTTAAATGAGTTTGTTTTAAACACTTAATTAAAATTATTAGTTGTAATAATACTTAGCATTAATTTAAATAAATGATTTAATTGCTAAAACAAATAATCCATTTTCCTATTTACGGTTACTGTAGCATATCTACTTAGCTTGACATGCAATGGCTGATCTCTCTCATACTTCATCTAACAGATAACATTAATGTATAGTGGCTTAGTGGAATTAAGTATATAGTATTATAATAAAGAATGTACTTTTAGACGAAGCTCTGCAAGCCGTGGGAGAACTGGAGTTGAAAGAGGCGGGTTGTGTGTGGGAACTTCAAGCGTGGTAGCTGATATATCATGTAATGAAATTGAGGTAGAAGTTTTAAGCTTTTAGAAATCTGAGATAGCAATTTCTGTAATCTTTGTGTTGAATTACAATTTTGGAATTTATAAAATATAGCTGAAGATGGTGGTTACTTAATTCAAGAATATGGAAAAATGAACTGGTACAGTGGTGACCAAATTTGAAAAAATTGTGCTGTCGAATGAGGAAGTTTAGTGAAGTTTATTTACAAAAGGAAAAGAAGGTTGAGTCTAGGAGAACCAATTCCTCATGAAGTAAGATACCCAAACAAGATTATAAGAATTAGTAAATGTTTTATTATTGCACTTCTTCTTGATTATGTTTATGATCACATGTTGTATGAATATGGTTGTATATGTATGAAATTGTTATGTAAAGGATAATCTTTAGCAATGTGAATGATTTCGTAAGCATAAAAGGGTACATATTCATAAACTAGTGAAGTGCACCAAAAGCAACCCTAAAGTGCACTAAAAACGCACACAAAGTGCACCTAAAGCGCACTTAAAGGGCAGTAAAAGGGCACTTAAAGAATACCTAAATGGCAATTAAAGGGCAACAAAAGGGCAGCTAAAGCACAACTCTATCATGAAAAGCATATGTCATTAGCTCTAAAAAGGATGACTATA